GCTACCGCTTGAGCCACATCCCCAGCCCAGATTGTTTATCTAAATAACATTAATATAAAACTCTGGGAACTGTCATAGTTCCGGTGTAAAATGTCCTCAAAGAATCCCACGTTGAAGGCCTGGTCTCTGGTGCACCATGTCCAGAGGTGGAGCTCTGGGGAGGTGACTGGATTCTGAGGACCGGCCTCAGTGGTGGGTTAATCCCCTGAAATCGAGTGGCTGACTGGAGGGGCCGGAACTACAGACAGGTGGGCTGTGGGTGGAGGAAGTGGTGAGGGGGGGGGCCGCCTGTGGGGACTGCACCTTGTCCCTGGTGCCTCTCCCTCCCCCTCTCTCTGCTCTTTGGCTGCCATGAGCTCAGCCGCTGTCCTTCCACTGGGACCTTCTGCATCACATCAAGCCCAAAGAAATGGAGGAGCCAGCCCACCGTGGACTGAGACTCTGAGGCCATGGCCGAAGTCAGTCTCTCCTTCTCCGAGTTGCTATTTCAGGTGTTGGGTCACAGTGAGGAAAAGTTGACTAACACAGGGATTAGACTCTTGCAAGAGTTCTGAGAGACAGACCGTATTCAGAGGAGACCAAGCAGCACCCAGGTCCCCATCTACAGCAACCAAGTGCTGGATTTGGGGTGTGGTTTGTTTCTCCAGGTTTCATGTTTTGGAAGCTTGGTCCTTGGTGTGGTGATGTTAAGAGGTGGTGGGCCCTTTAAGAGGTGGGGCTTGGTGGGAGGTCATTAGGTTATTGGGATCATTACAGTTCTACTGGGACCAGGGTTATTCTTGCTAGAGGGCTGTTACAAGAGAGCAGGCCTGGCCCTGCCTCAGTCTCTGGCTTCCTGTCTTACCATGTGATCTCTCCCTCTCCCATTTGCTCTAGCCACGACCCCATCTGCCATGAGGTCCTCACCAGAGCTGAGCTGATACTGGTGCCGTGGCCTTGAACCTCCAAATCTGTGAGCTAGGGCTGCAGATGTAGCTCAGTGGTAGAGAGCTTGCCTCGCATGCACTGGATCCTGGGTTTGACTCCCAGCACTTCAATAAAATAAAATAAAACAAAACTTTGGGCTAAATAAAACTCTTTTCTTGATAATTTATCTAGCCCTTGGTATTTAGTTATAGCAAAGGAAAATGGACTAATACACAGAGGTAATAGATACCTATTGTTTTTTTTTTTTATACTGAGGATGGAATTCAGAGGCACTTGACCACAGAGCAACATCCCCAGCCCTATTTTGCATTTTATCTAAAGAGAGACTCTCACTGAGTTGCTTAGTGCCTTGCTTTGAATTTGTGATCCTTCTGCCTCTGCTTCCCAAGCTGCTGGGATTACAGGCAGGTGCCACTGCACCCAGCAAGATATATATTGTTTTAAGCCGTTACATTTTGGGATAATTTGTTATGCAGTAATAGCTGACTGATACATCTGATAGGACTTATAAGTCAGGGAAAGACAATGTGCTTGGCTATCAAGGTGTACTTATTTGGTTCTTGCTCCCTTTATTCTAGGAAATGTATCAGCACATATTTGAGCCAAGAGGTTCAACTTAGTAGAACCATCCTAAAAATACTGGCCTTCTAAATTTATTTCACCCAAAATATATTACCTAGAATTTTTTTTTTCATGAGTACAAAACGACTGTTAGAAAGTCCCCTCTATTCAACAGCATCACCATCCCTATTGCCACACAGACAGTGCTTGGTAGAAAAAAAAAAGAACCAGGACTCCCTGAAACTTTTATGTCAGCTCTAAGAATTCTGTCTTGAAAAGTAGCAACAGGATGTGTGTCAGCCCTGCTGCGACTGAATGAGTTGGAAACTTTCGACCCCTCCACGACAGTGTGGAGAGATGAAACCTCAGGGCGGATCAGCCCTCCAGGATTCAGTGCTCACACGTGGATTAAGGCCAGGACCACAGCGAATGGATTTGGTGTCTTCCCTTTTGTTCTCCCCCCAAATGATGCCTTGTGCCATGCCATGCCATGACAGGTAGGCTGTCGCCAGCTGCCAGCCCCTTGATTTTGGAGTTCCCCGTCTCCAGAAGTGTGAGAAATAAACCTCTTTATAAATTGCC